CCCCCCCCCCCCCCCCCAATCTTACAGGAATCATGGGTAAAGAAGGAAGACAAGCTGTTAGAAACAGTGACTATGCAATAGCACGGTTTAAATTCCTCTCAAAGTTGCTTTTTGTTCATGGCCACTTTTACTATATTAGAATAGCAACCCTTGTACAGTACTTTTTTTATAAGGTAAGTCTGTTCCCAGGTCTTTGAAGTAACTGCAATTTTTTTCTTTGCATGAAATGTATTTCAGCTGGTTTTAAAAGTTTAAACACAAAATAATGTATTAAATATTTCTGTGCTAAAGTTCACTCTGGGCATTGATGCCGCTGAACCAGTTTTAGTCTTCTCTAATCGTATATATTTTTCAAGAAAGATTTTTTTCCATACTCCTCTTGTGAAAGTCCCAGACAAAGAGGACACTGATTCTAAAGCAGGGGTGGGCAGTTATATGGTCTGGAGGGGCACTTAATGAGTTTTGGTGAGCTGTTGAGAGCCACGTGCGCGCACATGCTCCCCCACAGCTGGGCTGGGGCTGGTGGCTGAGTGAGAGGCAGAGCAGGAGCAGTACCACTGTCTGCCCAGGGACCAGATAAAATTAGTTGGTGGGCTGAATCCAGCACATGGGCCATATTTTGCCCATCCGTGCTCTAAAGGGTAAAGAATGGAAATGACTGCATGAAATGCTGAAAAAAGCAAGCTGGGGAAAAGAGAGAATTTTTTTCTCAAATCTTTCACTTAAGATTTCTTTATATGCACAGCGTTTGTATTGCTATTAGAAATCCTTATATGGGTGTGATTAAACTGAACCTGTGTGGGTTCATCAGTTTTCAGCAAAAAATAAGACCTGTTTATAGGGTGATGTTTTATTAGTACTTTGCGTTGTAAAGTAAAAATGGAACAGTTTGCTCTTCATATCAGCTTTATACAAGTTGTCATTATTTTCAGGGTGGGGTAGTCTGTAGCACATCTCTAACCGTCTCTTTCATTTTTGTGTTTCAGAATGTGTGCTTTATTACACCACAGTTTTTATATCAGTTCTTCTGTTTGTTTTCACAACAAGTAAGTACTAGATGCCTTGTATTTAAGAATGTCTTGCTGTAACTCACTAGGGCGTGGGGAGGAAAAAAGTGATTTCTTTGCCCTATTTTAAAAATATAAAGGTATATATGTTAGGGGTGTGTGAAACGGGCCGTATTCGATTCGGACTCGGCCCGAATTGGGGACACTGATTTGATTCAGATCACTGTCCTGATTCAATTTGGCCAGATCTTAATCTGAAGATTCGATGCTGCTTCAGCCATAGACGCAACTTTAAATGGTTTTTCTACATACCTTGAAGTACCAGGCGCAGCTCGTGAATGCTGAGCTGGTGGGGCAGATGGAGCGTCCCACAGGAGCACGCGGGGGGCCCCCCACAGTGTGCTTGACAGCGAACCCGGAAGTGGACTGGAAATACTTCCAGTCCACTTCTGGGTCTGCCACCAAGCACGCAGGGGACCCTCCCTCTCTGCGTGCCACTCCGGCTCAGCAATTGGCCGCGGGAAGACCCCAGGTGTCTCCCCAGACCCAGGAGGCACCAGTAGTCGAGCGGAGGGTGAGGGGGGAGTCCCCCCACGCACTCCCTGGCAAACCCAGAAGTGGACTAGTAGTGCTTCTGGTCCACTTCTGGGTCTGCTGCTGAGCGTGTTGGGGACACCCCCCCCCCCCCCGGCGCTCCCATGGGACGCTGCATCTGCCCCAGCATCTCAGCATTCACGAGCCGCTTGTTATCTTGAGGTATATAGAAAAAACATTTAAAGCTGTGTCTATGTTTGAATCATCGAATCTCTCTGAATCGATTCAGAAGGTTCCGATTCGATTTGAAGAGATTAAAGGGTCTCCTGATTGGATTTGGAGATTCAGCTGCTGAATTGGCTGAATCTCTGCCAAATCGAATCGGTGACCAAAGCTTTGCACAGCCTTAATGCACAGAGAGGCAAATAATTTTTGTGGTATCGTCTTTTTGGACTAACTGTAGAATTGGGAGAGCTGTTGGAGAAGCTTTTGGGAATCAAGTGCCCTTCCTCAGGTCTGAGAGAGAGGTGGATGCAGGCTGAACTAAAAGAGGACTCCATGTCACTCAAAATAATCTGCTTGTGGGGATGAAGAGGGGCTATGAACTAGGGGTGAAGAGGTGTAATCAGAAGCCATTATAAGACAAAAGAGGTGCAGTAGAATAAGCAACCTAGTCGGTGGCAAAGCAAGACTATTCAGGAAGGGGGTAGTTATTACCTGTGTAGTGCAGGGAGATTACTGGCAGTATTTGTTAAGTATTTGTAATGAGCCATAAACCTGCTGTCTGTTTTAAGTCCAGATTTTTACTGTGCAGTAGAGTAAATAATTTCTGTTCCCTTTTGGAGGTGTTTTCTACTAGAGTTCATTCTGGTAGTTCCTACCTAATTTCACCCATATAGTATCAACGAGGTCATTTGGTACCCTGGATGAGAGATGCCACATCTTGTGATGTACAGGTGTAGGATGACATCATTCACAATGAGGAAGGGTAATTGATTCTGGAAAACTTGTCCAGCAGTTCTCCCTACTTGCTCCTGTTTTAAGATATCGCAAAAAATCTTTGCTGTTGGAGTTTCCTGGATCATCACTGCTACAACAGCACTCCAACCCTGCTGCATACCTACATATGCACACATGCATACACACACACGTGTGCTTGTGTGTGCATCCGTAAGAGAGAAGAAAAGTAACTCACTTTAAATCACTATTTTCATTTGAAGTGGAGAATAGTCTCCTTTTAATGTTAGTGACTTTATAAAAGTAAAAGAAGATGCACTACTAGAGAACAGTAGGAAATTTTATGCATGAACTTTGCTATATCCTTTGACAACTAAGGATTTGGGGATTTTTTTTGCTTAAACTGCATGTTATTCAGTAAGCCCATGATTAATACTATTTCAGACACAGTAAATGATTTCATGGTGCTTTCATTTCCTTGAGTATCTGTCTCTTAATATGGCACTTTAAAAATGTATTGTTTTGAAATAAGTATCTATATGTGGCAACTACTTGGCCACAGTGCTTGTGTGAATAGATAATGCCAACATATTGGATATTCTGTTTTTCTTTTTCCCCTTTGCAATCTGACATCTTTAACTTAGCTGTTAAGTTTTTATTTATGTTAAAGAAAACATCTTAACTATGAAGAAAATATAAATTATACTCTTCCCAGCCCACTTTCCTTGACTTGGATTCCACCCTCAGTGCACTCTGTGTTCTAGTATTTAAATGCATTTGGAACAGCTATTTCTGGGAAATGGATATGGGTCACAAAGTGGTTTCTTTTATTGTTGTTTTCTATATTCTTTTACTACACGCATCTCACGTTTAGACTTTTTTAAAGGTGTTTGTAAACTCTGGTCCATGATTTTTCTCATGACACTGAAAAACTAGTTTGTACTGTGGAAATGATTGACTCCAAGTGGACAAATAGCGCCATAAACATGGCCAGCCTCATTTTAAATATAAAAGCAAGGTACCTATCAAGGGTAAATTTTCATTAAATCTCTGAGCCATTAGTTTTCCATCCAGTAAAGTCATTTCTGTTTTGCTGATGTAAATTTAATAAGCTAAGCCATGTTTATGAAGTAACAGTTGCAGAGTTTGGGGATCTGAGTGTTTTTTCACAGCTCTGGGCCATGTAACTTTTACAAAAAGTGGCTTTCTGTGAAATATGCACCAATTTGAAGCTTAGAAAACTGGGCTGAGAGGTCTGTTGTTTTCTCTGCAGTATATTCAGTGTCAATTCTAGTACAATGGTAACTTTTACTCTTAATAAAATCATGAGCAATCTCTTAACATCTAGATCATAGCCAATACAAACTTTTACAAAGTAAGATAGCATTAGGCCTCGAGATTCTAGGTACCACGTTTCACTTTTACACTTGTGTTTCCTTGATTCTGCTGTTTGTTTCTAGCCTATGTGTAAACTTAAGCTTCAGTTTAGTGCCTGCTTCACAAAAGTATATTCCTGTTTTTTAGTTTTACAAATTTTTGTTTAAGCAAGATGGGCAGAGTTATTTTTTATTTCTCTGGAATCAGGAAAAGAGATTTCTAGTTCTCTACTTCCGTGTCTGATCTAGGAAATCAATGATGTGCCTGCTGTAACTGAAGATCCTGAAGAATGATGCTAGTATGTTATGTTACACCCAGGAAGAAGAACAGATCACAAATGCAATATCCAAACTAGGACATACTTTGTATGCTCTATTCTGTGTTTGCATAGCACCTAGTCTAGTAGCATCCCAATCCATTACTAGAGTGACTAAGCACTTGTAGTATAAACAGTAATAAGTATATGACTTGACATGCAGTGGAGTACCCTTTTTCTGCATGCATACGTAATTATAGATTTTTTTTTTCAATATTGGTGTACATTTACGTGAGTTTAGGTGGATTTGTAACTGCTATTGCCGTGCTTAATTAAATGTTTTCTAATATAAGTCACTTTGCCTATTTCTTTATAGACTACTCAAAATAATTAACTATTTCCTTTTTCAGACTCTGTATGACAGTGTGTACTTGACTTTGTACAATATTTGTTTCACTTCCCTGCCTGTCCTCATCTACAGTCTTTTTGAACAGCATGTGCACCCGCATGTATTACAGAGCAAGCCAGCACTCTATCGGTATGCAATCCCTTTTTAACTAAATGCAGGAGGATGAGAATGTCAACAGTAAAACTTTCTAATAAACTAGTGCTGTCAGGAGTTATGTTGCTAATGTTCTAAAATTACTGAATTCACTTCAATTTGCCCAGTATTTTGTTATTCTGTATAATTTATTAACAACCTTTGGGGGGGGGGGGGGG